CAACAACATGAAGAAAAATTAGGACAATTGGAAAAGGCCACAGGTCTTATTACTGGAGCACAGTTAACTCACGTGCAGGCTGGAGTTGGTGAATTGCATGTTATTTCTGCCCTTAGTTCAGTGACCCAGAAACTGCTGACAACAATGGTGCTAAATATCACTGAGGCTGGGAAGGCCTTGCAGTGGGATCTGGCATGTTCAGAAATTCAGGATTTTCTGAATGACCAGCTGATGGCCTTTCGGAGTGATCTTGAGCATCAGACTTGGCCCACTACCCTTACAGATACTTCAGGAGTATCATCTGACCTATGGCCCTGGAGACATAATTGGAGATTTTCTGGGTGGAAGTGCAGACATTCGCAATGCTCCTTCCAAGCATACGGACCCATTGGAGGGGTGTGGGCTCCCACATACCGAATCCTGCCGGGTCCGGGGGGAGGATGCATGTGGGATTGGGTAATTCACCAAGACATTTGGGAAATTAAACTACCTGGTATGCCTAACTGATTTATAGTCAGGGCTCCTGGAATGACACCCGACATTTGGATAGGGATAGGGAGTCAATGGACACTTTGGCCATTAGAACCCCCACAGCTCCAGTGTGTACGCAAACTGAAGCCTGGGGAAGTTGTCACTGTTCGTGATAAAGTTTGTTGGGAGGGTAAGGGACAAGGAACTACCCTGACAGGACACCTGCTTTTCCAAGCAAATAATACCTCTGTGTATGTTAAGGTCACCACTTTGCAAGACATACATTTTAATCTCATCACTGCTGCAGGCAATAATATTACTTATTGGCCTGCGGATAAAATTTTACAATCAGCCCTTAAGTTTCAGATACCTTTTAATTGGACTGCCTTAGTACCTGATCGGTTCCAAAATTTGCTTTCACTCCTACCAGAGGTCCAAAAAATTTCTGAATTTCAAGGGAAAATTCATATGCTCTAAAATATATATCAGATTGAAAAGAATGCTTTTCATACAGCCTATAGAGTGTCTACTTTATGTACTAAGTATGATGTATTGTGTTTTGTGACTAAGGCTATACAACAACCCCATCCTATTATTACAATGGGGATGTTAATGCTTTTATTATTATTGTTTAGCCTGGGATTATGTTGTTGTTGTTGTTGTAAAGGACATAATAATAATAGCACCTTCCATGTTCATACCCATAACCATGCATTGTCGTTGCCTTCAACCAAAACCCCAAAGGCTGAGCCATTTGATTTAGAATCAGAAATACAAAATTAAATGAAAATGGAAGTTTAGGCCAAGGTGGTATAGGAAAGCTTTTTTTTCCTGTATTCCTAATAAGTGAAAAATAGTAATGAGGAAGTGTGTTTGACTAGATGTTGCCTTTGAACTATAAAAGCTTCCATGTTAAGGAGAGCAGCCAAGCTCGTTGTCTCTCCCTGCATCCTTGTAATAAAGGAGCCTAAGGGTAGGTCTACACTTACCCGGTAGTTTGGCGGCGAGCAAACGAACGTCAGGGTTC